CAATCAGGATTCTATCAACCTGGGAAATGCTGACCCGGACTCATGGCTGACTAGCATAGCCAGTTTTATTGGAGTGTTACAATTCACTAAGAAGTATGTCAGCACTTTCAGGACAAAATGCTTACTGATGTTAGAATTCGCAATGGCCCTTAACATGGGAGGCAGAATTATTCTCAATACTTTTCTTCATGTCATACGCCAAGGAGAAGGAATAAACCACCTATATGACACCCAGTTTTTGGTCCACTTTTGCCTGTGGTAAAATTATAAATGTGGAAATCTAAAAGGTATATATGACCATCTGCCAAAATGGCAAAAGACAGGACTTACTATGTACCTTTATGTAAAAATATACTAATTTATTATACCTCTAGGATGTTTCTGATTATTTGAAGTAGGGGAAAGAATAAAATAGGAAAAATAAGGGAGACTGAAGTTTCACATAACCCAATGGATTATTAATGCTAATAATAGTTTGTATGAACTGTCCACTAACTCAATTAAATTTTTGATTACTTAAAAAATAATAAGAGAGATACATAAATTTACTATAAACTGTGTGTTGTATCAGGGGTCAATTGTTTCTTTCCTTTCCAGATAAGGGAGCATTTCAAAATAAGCACTTCATTGGTGCAGTGATGAAAGTCCATGGAATTCTAATAATACACTCAGGCTACAAATTACATAGGAAAATAGAGAATTTGCAAAACAAAATTTTCCTAGTGGAATATTTAGTATAAAAAGTTACAAGAATTCATAATGGATAGTCATTGGACCATCTGATGACAAGAATGACTATGCTCAAATTTTGATCAAAGTAGTATGGAAATAATTGCTTCTAAGATATTTTTCTCAAAAATTTCCCAGCACGCTCATGCAAAATCATGTATTATAACTAGGGTGTCTCTCTAAACACATTAGAAACCCATTGATGATATATGAAAGTGGCCAATGAAATTCCTGTAAGAATCCAATAATTTTAAATATAATCATCTCACATCTACAAATGTTTAATCTGGCATGTAGTTGAAGCCATCACTTGAAAGAATATGAAATTTCTTGCTCAGGTATAGAAAAAAAGAAAACGTGTAAACAACTATTCCAATCATCCCTAGTGACTGGGAAATTAAAATATGAAGCAAATTAAAATTTGGAATAGTTAATTAAAATTAAAATATGAAGATTGTATATACGGTACCTACTTTTCAATTTAAATACAATTGTTCCACTAAATAGAAAATGATAAATAAAATTTAATAGTATCTTTGGATTTTAATAATCCAGTCACACTAGAGACACTGATCATGACTCAGAAGATTCTGGCAACTCAAACATAAATAGATCAAAGGTAGGCACAGATATTTCTCACAGAATTTATCATTTAAGTGGTGATCCCACAGGATCTATTTATGACTTATAGATACTTGTCTTGTAGACTTGTAGATACTGGCAGCCAAAAGTTGTAGTAACATTCTGCAATTGGTTATATAGACCCTTCTACAGTTTATTTCCTCTAGCACATGCCAGCATGTTATTTTTCAAATACCACAGTACTTTTTTTTTTTTTTTGTAACACTTGCGGACCAAATTGAATTTCCCTTCACATTTTTGTTTAGCATGATCTATGGGTTGGACCTCGCTTATAGAAGTTATATTTGTTACTCACTGCGTTCGTATTTCAACAAGATCCATCTGTGGATTCATAATTTATCCAGGAACATTTATAGAAGCAACCATCAGAATGAGATACATGGTAGACACTGAGCACTCAGGATTTTCTTACGCTAGGAGACACTGAACCATACTAACTTGATCATGGAGACCAGAATCACTGATGATCCAGATCTAATCTTGCTGATTAGAATAGCCAGAGTCTCATTGTCATTGAAGTGCCACAATGCCCTGAGAGAAATGTCAGTGTTTTCAGGACAAAATGCTTACTGATGTGAGAATTTCCATTGGCATTTGAACATATTTTGGCAGATCTATATAAAAAGAGCTCCTTTATGTAATACATCAAAGGAAAAACTTATGAAACCCACTTCTGTCCACCTTGAACTATAGTAAAAAATACATATCATACATTTGTCAACCAAGCAAAAGACAGTAAAATTCACTGCATATATACAATTAAATTTAACTATATAAATTAACTTACTATGATATTTTTAAATATTTTAAGAAGAAAAGAGCAAAAATACTGGAAGTTTTAAAAAAGAGGGCATGAATAGATTATAATGCCTCACAGTACAATAGAAAGAGAAGAGAAAATCAGCAGATGCCAAAAAAGATTAAAAATCATGATGTAGTAGTCTCACAAGGATTTAAAATTTGTGATGATTAACATATTTATTTTGTAACCACAAGATCTGTAGAAATAAAATAAAGCTAACATCAGACAACAAGGAGAATTTGTATTAAAAAAAGAAGAAACTTTAAAAATGATATAAAATTCTCACCAGATAGGCTCATTATTCATGTAGACAAAATAGGAAAATATTAAAAGAATTTAGTATGAATCAATGGATTTTATCCAATCTTGGAAAAAAGAACTTAACCTAAAAACATTCACAAAAATAACATGATAAATTAAGATTCTCAATATGACATCATTAGAAACATGATAACATAATGAAAGTCAAACAGAAAACTACATTGGTAATATAAACGTAAAAATATGATTTCACTAACAAAAACAAAAATTATTCACCTCACATTTCAGTAAAAAAAGATATTTGGAAAAAAGTTCAATTCCATTAACATTTCCATTAACAATGGAAAGTAATAGAAGGATAGATATGTATATATGTAGAAAGTTAAATATGAGTGAAATTAATCAAAGTATAATATATTGGTTATATAAAGCTTCCTGAATTCACAATGAGTAATCATATATCTGAATATTAATATCTTACATATGGGAATGTGAATCATGACACATTGTGTGACCTAAATATAAGAGATACACTTCAGGGGCGCCTGGGTGGGTCAGTTCGTTAAGCATCTGCCTTTGGCTCCAGTTGTGATCCCAGGGTCCGGTGATCAAGCCCTGCATTGGGCTCCCTGCTTGTCGGGAGGCCTGCTGCTCCCTCTCCCTCTCCCACTGCTTGTATACCCTCTCTCTCTGTGTCTCTCTGTGTTAAATAAATAAAATCTTTAAAAAAGAGAGAGAGATAGACTTCAATAAAATCTACTACCTTCCATGGAAACTAAAAAAGTTACTGAATATATTGTTCCAAATATAAATTTTATAAAATGTGGACAGAGAGCCTCAGGTAACATTCAAAACAACTACACTTGAAAGAACAAGACCACAAAACCATGAGATTGTCATCATCAAAAGTGGCTCTGTAAGAACACAAGCAATTGAAGGAACATGGCTACCTGAACTGTACAAAAAACATTTAAAAGCACAGTTAATATGACAAACACAGTGCAGTAAACTCAACTGGAAAAAAACAAATCCAAAAAAGACTGGGAAATATCAACACCAAGATATTTAGGAAAATAAATATTTCATAACAGTAAATCATTTGGCTAAAGATTCACAGTTATAATCATTGGAAATCAATAATATGATGTAAAAATAAAGCTGAAATACACACATAAAAATAAAACTATCTTAAGGAGAAATACAAAATGAAACAAAAAAAGTCTAAGTCACTAAAAAATTCATGATTTCTTAAAACTAAAAAAATAAACAGCATATATGGAAACACAGAAAAGAAAAAAAGACAAAAAATTTTGCAATACAAAGTGTGAAGATGAGAGAAAGAAAAATCACACAAATACTATAACATAACTAGTAAATAAAAAGTTGAAAAAAAATCATTTATACTGTGATGCTACCTAAGCAAGTGAAGATGACAGGCAGACTCAAAAAAAGAAGAGATTATGCTGACTGAAATAAGTCAAGCAGAGAGAGTCAATTATCATATGGTTTCACTTATTTGTGGAGCATAACAAATAGCATGGAGGACATGGGGAGTTAGGAGAAGGGAGTTGGGGGAAATTGGAAGGGGAGGTGAACAATGAATGAGAGACTATGGACTCTGAAAAACAATCTGAAGGGTTTGAAGAGGTGGGGGGGTGGGAGGTTGGGGGAACCAGGTGGTGGGTATTAGAGAGGGCACGGATTGCATGGAGCACTGGGTGTGGTACAAAAAACAATGAATACTGTTATTCTGAAAATAAATTAAAAAAAAGTTTATTAAAAAAAAAGAAGATACATATTTAAAGGGGAAAATGAAATAAGAGGCAAAGAAACACACTCTAAAAAGATGGTATATCCCAGGCAGGTTACACAGAAATGCAAAAAGATCAAGACCCAAATGACACTAAACATACTAGACAACCACAAGGAAACATAACAGCATATCATGTGGTCTCTGCCACGCAACAGATGAAGAAGCCTGCCCCACCCTTCGCCTTGGATAGTCCTCCAGGCCCTGTCCAAAACCCAAGCATGGGGATCCACAAGACACAAACCCTGATGTCACAAGGCCAGGTTGTTTTTGGGACAATGGTTCTAGCTGCCTCAGTCTCTACCCAGGGCTTCCTTGGGGACCCCATGTGCCACAGCCCTGTGACTTCCCTCCCACCTCCCTGTAAACCTACACACTGGCCAAAGTCTACAGGTTGGATGCACTCACCCAGGGGATGCAATCAGAGTTACCGACCTTACCCAGGCCCGGAGCCCCCTGAGCCTGCCCAGCAAGCATGGTGGGCCGTGTGAACTCTGACGCAGAGCAGCTAAGGAGGAAGCATGACCTATGCCTGGCCCAGGGCCCTCCTCCCATCCTGTATCCAAAACCTCTCAGCCCTGGAACATACAAGGCAAAAGGGCAAGGGAGGGGCAGAGGCCCCATCCACTACGGGAGGGGACAGGTCTTCCTTTGCCATGGAGATGTTCCCTGGCCAGAGGGGTGACATCTCAATGTGCCAAGCACTCCGAGCTAGCAGCAATGTTCTTGGGTGGCCTGGGTGCAAAACCACATGCTGGAACTCATTTCCAATGAGGATGACAGTAGAAATTGGCACTCATTTTGTTCAGATTTCTAAGGAATGCATTTGTAGGAGTCATCACCAATCTGAGAACATCTAAGGACATGGAGCGTGAAAAGGGTAGGGCTCCAGCCTGGGACAGCCACTGAGTTCATGCACGTCGGCCCTCATGAAAACAAATGGCTAGGCCACAGCATGGCCAGGGGAGAGATCCTTGGTACAGAAGGCCACAGGAATGACCAGGGCAGGAGGTGAAAGGGGTGAGCCACTTACCGCAGACACAGGTTACTCTCAGATAACCGCAAACCACACCCTATAGCTCTAAAGGGCCATCCTCTCCAGGCAGACCAGGGATCAAGAATCAGGCAAATGGGACTCACCGACGGCTATGACACCCATGTCCAGCAAACACCACCTGGGACATGGGGAGAAGTGACAGGAGTGCCTCAGCGAGGTGGACACATCTGCAGGAGAACAAGCCACAGCCAGCAGAGGGGACAATCTGCTCCACCTCGCCCTACGATGCGGGGCTGGTGCCAGGCCTTAGGACCAATGCCTACATATGGAGGATTCAGTGCCTCAGGGCCACATGGTCGGACAACCTCCCGCACACAAACCATCCTGGGCTCGATGGCAGAAGCCGGACCTTTGACCCCATATAGCCCTGGTCCCCGCTGGCCATCTGCTACAGGGGGGGTCAGTCTCCCTCCATCACGGAGCAGTTCCATGGCCAGAGGAGCAACATCCCTACGTGCCAAGCACTCCAAGTTAGTGGCAACAATCTCGGGTAGCCTGGGTCCCTCACTCAGACTTGCTGGTGGGGAACCATGTGCTGGACCTCAGTTCCGATGAGGACGACGGTAGGGATCGTCACTCATTTTGTTCAGATTTCCAAGGAATGCATTTTTATGGAGTCATCATCGATCCGAGCACATCTCAGGACATGGAAGGTTACAAGGACCGGGCTCCAGCCTGACACGGCCACTGAGTTCAGACATGTTGGCCCTTGTGAACACCAAAGCCCAGGCCACCAGGTGGCCAGGGAAGCCATCCTCGGCCAAGGAGGCCTCAGGAAAGACCCGGGCATGTGGTGGCAGGGACAAGACCCTTACTCCGGATGCAGGCGACTCCCAGGTGACCTCAGCCTACACACCCTGCCTCTCCAGGGGCATCCTCACCTCGCAGGCAGGGCATCGTGGATCAGGCAAATGGGACTCGCCGACGGTCACCGATGCCCGCGTCCAGCCAACTCCACCTAGGACATGGGGAGAGGTGACAGGAGGGCCTCAGCCCGGGGACACGTCTGTGGGCGTCCACACCAGAGCCAGGCAGTGGGGACACTCTGCTCTACCTCTTCCTATGATGGGGGGTGGCTGGTCCCATGTCTGAGGACCAAGGCCTACACACGGAGGCCTCTAAGCATGCAGGCACAGGGCCGGGCAGGGGGAAATGGAGGAAAGGGTGGTAGGAAGGGGAGAAAGTGGAGGGAGGGGGAGGGGCGGACTGTTGGTTCGAGATGTGGGACAGCCCGCACACTGTGTCCTTTAATGGAAATGAGTCCCTAGATCACGTACTGCAACACCAGTCTCCTAAGGCAATGAACACAGGGCCCGCGTGCGGCACATCCCCAGAGAGCACCAGGGGCATCAGTGCGACCTCGCCCTCCCCCGTGGGGTACGACCCCGGCGGGAGCGCCTCCCCAACCAGCCTCCCCCCACGGGGGGACCCACCACGTACCCAGCACATACTCAACTGACAAGGAGATGCACACCCCAGCGACACGAAGCGGCATCAGTGAGCCAACCCAAGGGAACTCCCCGTGGCTGCAGGGAAATCACCCCAGGAGCAATGAGCCCCAGGTCTGGGGTGGGGGCAAGTGGCCTCCCAACAGGTGGGCCCCAACTCTGCTGTCCTCCCTGCCATGGCCCGATCCCCTCTCTTCCTCCATACAGAAAACCCACCCCGGCCTCAAGATACCCCAGGTCTCGAGGGGCTGACCACAAACCCATCCTACAGGAGATCACGCCTCCCTCATTCCTGCAGGCTCAGAAGCAAGCCATGTGAGGCAGTGACCCCATGCGCTCATGCCACCCTCCCGACCTCCCGCCTCCCATTGGCACCCTCAGAAGCTGGTGCAGCCAGCAGCTCTGGGGCCCTGGGACCTGGCCCAAAATTGCCCGCAGGTCGGGGCAGCACGTCCCAGGTCCTCGGTGCCACAGGAGGCTGAGTTTCTGACCGGGAACACTGCCTGGCCTGCCACAGGACCCAGCCATCTCTAGGCCCAGGATCCCTAAATCTGTCCCAAATGCAGGCCGCTCTGGAACCACATGTGACTTGGACCAGCAGGCAGCAAGGTTTTCCCACATCCCGAGGACTCGCCTGCCACTCATCTGAGCACCATTCTCGTGCCCTGGTCCCATCCGGATTTTGCCCGCTGGTGCCTGCTGCAGTCCAACTGGCAATACAGACTTGTGGGAAGCAGGCAGGCACCGGCAACCCACCCTGAAGGAGCCTCTCCACGAGCGCATCCACTGCCATGCCAGCACAGGGTGTTGCAAAGGATGTCACACTCCAGATATGACCTGTCCCACCATACATAGCCGGGCACCATGAGGGTGCCCAGGTGCTGCCGCCACCAACTGCAAGGAAACGCATCACGCCCCCCACAATCGGGCTCCACACACACCCGTGGCTCACCGTCACCCGGGCAGCCTTCCTCAACAAGAGCCTCCGGCAGGGGGAGAAGTGGCCCTGCGGCGGAGGTTCCGCCAGCCTCCCATCCCGGCGCCACGTGGCTGAGTCTTTCCTGGGACGACGGTTATAGCTGCCTTGGTCTCTGCCCAGGGCTTCCTCCCGGCCCCCATGTGCCACAGCCCTTTGGCCTGCCTACGCCCCCATGTAAAACTCCACGGTGGCCGGGACCCAAAGGATGGACACTCTGGCCCAGGAGATGTCATCGGAGTCACCGTCCTGCCCAGTCCCGGAGCTCCCTGAGGCTGACCGGCAACCACAGCGGGCCGCATATCCTCGGACGTGGAGCAGCTGCAGAGGAAGCATGGTCCACTCCTGGCCTGGGGCCCTCCTCCCATCCTGTGTCCAAAACCTCTCTGCCCTGCAGTGGACAATGCACAAGGGAGTTGGAGGAGCAGAGGCCAGGGGCTGCGGCGGGAATAGCAGTGCTGGTGGCAGTGAGTGGTGGGTGGTGGGGAGGGCCTCAGGAGCTCTGGGCCATGTGGGCGGCTGACCTCTGGCATGCACGCCCTTCCTGGACTCTCTGGCAACAGCCAGACCTTTGACCCCAGACTGCCCTGGTCCCCGATGGCCATCTGCTACAGGAAGGTGCAGTCTCCCTCTGCCACGGAGCAGTTCCACGGCCAGAGGGGCGACATCTCCATGTGCCGAGCACTCCAAGTTAGTGACAATGATCTCGGGTGGTCTGACTCCCTCACTCGGACTTCCTGGCGGGGAACCACATGCTGGACCTCAGCTCTGATGAGGATGACGGTAGGGATTGTCAATCATTTTGTTCAGATTTCCAAGGAATGCATTTGTATGGAGTCATCATCGATCTGAGCACATCTCAGGACACAGAGGATTCAAAGGGCCGGGCTCCAGCCGGGCACGGCCACTGAGTTCAGACACGTCGGCCCTTGTGAACACCCAGGCCTAGGACACAGGGGAGCCAGAGGATCCATCCTTGGCCAAGGAGGCCTCGGTAAAGACCTAGTCACATTGTGGCAGGGGCGAGACACTTACCACAGACACAGGCGACTCCCAGGTGACTGCAGCCTACACACCCTGCCTCCCCAGGGGCGTCCTCGCCTAACAGGCAGGGCATCATGGATCAGGCAAATGGGATTCGCCGATGGTAACCAAACCCGCGTTCAGCCAACTCCACCTGGGATGTGGGGAGAAGTGACAGGAGCGCCTCAGCCCAACGGACACATGTGTGGGGGTCAATGCCAGAGCCACGCAGTGGGGACACTTGGTTCTACTTCTCCCTATGATGGGGGGTGGCTGGTCCTGTGCCTGAGGACCAAGGCCTACACATGGAGGGCTTCAAGCATGCAGTCGCAGGGCCGGGGTGGGGGGTTGAATGAGGAATGGTGTCAGGAAAGGGAGAGAGTTGTGGGGGGTGGGGGGTGGTGGGTTCGAGACATGGGACAGCCCGTACATTGTGTCCTTTAATGGAAACGAGTCCCTAGACCACGTACCACAAACCAGTCTCCTACACGGGGTGGGCACAGGGCCTGCATGTGGAGCATCCCCAGCGAGCACCAGGGGCAACCAAGCGACCTTGCCCTCCCCCGCAGGGTACAACCCCGGCGCGATTGCCTCCTGAACCAGCCTCCCCCCACAGGGGGACCCACCACGCACCCAGCACATACTTGGCCAGACAAGGAGATGCACGCACCAGTGACACGAAGCAGCATCGGTGAGCCAACGCGAGGGAACTCCCCGTAGATGTGGGGAAATCACACCAGGAGCAATGAGTCCCAGGTCCAAAGTGGGGGCAAGTGGCCTCCCAACAGGTGGGCCCCAATGCTGCTATCCTCCCTGCCATGGCCCCATCGCCTCTCTTCCTCCATACAGAAAACCCACAACGGCCTCAAATTACCCCAGGTCCCAAGGGGCTGACCACAGACCCATCTAACAAGAAGTCACGTCCCCCTCATTCCTGCAGGCTCAGAAGAAAGCCACATGAGGCGGTGACCCCAAGAGCTCATACCACACGCCCGACCGGCCCGCTACCATGGGCACTCTCAGAGCTGGTGCAGCCAGCAGTTCTGGGGCTCTGGGACCTGGCCGAAAATTGTCAGCGTCCTGGCCGGGGGCCGTGGGCCTCGGCCCTCTACCCACAAGCCCCCGGGGCGCACTACTGATGAAACCGGGTGGAGGGGCCCGGGCATGCATCACTGCTTGCCCGGCCCGGGGCTCTCCTCGCAACCCATGGCGTCTGCCGCTGCCAGCCTCTACCACACGCTCCCCCAGGAGCTCTGCCTGAAGCGCCGCCCTGGCCCACGCTGCTCCGGGACCGGCGCTCACAGGGCCTCGCCCAGTGCCTCCCTGTGGGCCTCCCACGCCCGG